GTATAAGAAATTAATTTGAATAATTTAATGAGGTGATCATATGAATAGGATATAAGGTTGTTTTGTAAAACTCAAACCTCACATCTTTATACCTTCTATAGTAGATACGGTGATTAGTGAAAATTTCCTCTTTTTCCCTTGCATACCTCTAATGGTCCATCATAGGGGCACCAAAGAGATAACTCGTGAGTAATGAGTTATTAATGTTCAATAAAACTAGATTTACTATCATTTGAAGATTTTATTTTGTTTACAAGAAAGTAATCATGTTCTTGTTGATAGTTTTCTATTCAATCTGTAGAGGAAGCCCTAACTCCCAAGAGCTAGAATTGATTTAAGTTTATTTTTAAAATTCAGGATTTTCTGGTCTCATTTAGGATTATGACAAATACTAGCCTCTCAGTAAAAATATAAAACAACGATGAAGAATAAATGACTATTTTTAAAGAATATAGATAGAAGAGTCTCGTTAGCGGTCTTCCTTTTAGGCATGTAAGAGATTTAAGTGACTCACCATTGTGTGGCAAATTTCGGATAAGTCCTCAATTGGAGAATCTTCCGAACCATAACTGCATTTAGCACGAAAATCAGGACATTTCAGAAGCAAACATAATATAGAAACCTTTGAATATCGAGAAGTGGACATTGCATCTAAACTATCAAGAGGATAATATTATCCTTCGTATCAAGCTCAAATTCTAATGACAAGATTCTCCTTCTTATGTAGACCAAAATATGGAAACGGGTTTAAACTTAATAAAAAGAAGTCCAGATAACGTGAAAATATAAGAAACTGATATGGGGCTTTGTAAAATTCAGATCAAAGATGTAGGGAGAATAAACATCCAGTTTCAACCAATTTTCTTATCTCTCAACCTAAATTAATGCTTCGGTAAAAAAACAAAAGCCTAAATTAATGCTTCGGGTTTATAGATGTACTATTTTCCAACAACAATTTAGTAACATACCAAACATCAAAAGGTGTGTCCAACGATGTCCCGTAAATGTTATAGAAGCTGACTCCATCTGGCAATTTAGCATTTGCGATAAGTTGTCGTGTTTTAATAGCCCAGTCAAGGATATCAAAGTTAAAGGGAAGCCGTATTGTTTTCCCATTGTAACTTAGCTGCAAAAATAACACCCATAAGTCCTTGGTACAAGCAAAAGGAAAATTGCACGAGGATAAATTTTCTGTATCAGAAAAGGAAAGATAACATCTGTCATATTGAATGGTTTTCATGACTAACACAATCATTTTTCACTTGGCATTAGAGATAAAACTTGCATAATGACATTTGTTTAGCTTACTAAGCAATAGATATCATGCTGACTTCAGATCTTCCTTTAAAGAGACGTCAAGTGAGATACAACAAGTGTTCTGAGAACAGGACCAGATCAAAACAACCAGTTTTCCTGATTGACCTCGGAACTCATCCAAGGCTCAGTTCTTATCTAATAATCATAATTGGTCATAACTGGTCAAAGAATATGCAAATAGGCTGGTTTTTTCAGAACCAGTCAAACAAACTGCAGTGCCTAGGTGGGTCAACCAGTATACATCAGTGTGGCATAGCAGCTCATGAAGTGCCGTGACACAAAATGGTTAGGAGCTTAACTCAAGAACTTCACATGTGACGCTAAGGAATTAGCCCTTGGGCCAAAAACACCTTAATAATTGATGCAGTAATATATCTATAAATCAGATTTAGTGATCACTAATATTGCCTTAATAACATTCTTTTACATTATAAAAGAAAAGTGTAATCATATAGTCTGAAATGCTGATTCTTTTACAGAAAAAAAAAGTATACAAAGAAAGGGATAACTAAAACTAAGGGAGAACAAGTTATCCTCCAAAACCAGAAAAAGGATACGAGAAGAAACATGAAAGAAAAAGCCTCAAGAATACAACAAACAAGTCAAACCACAAACAGAATATTAATATATGCCAACAAATTACTTAGTAATCATACAAGAAAAGTCAAAGCTTTACCATATAAATCTTTGAACATTTTAAAGCATATATGCCCACATATCTTAGACTCATCAACCTAAAGAAAAGTTGAAATAGATTACCTCATTATTCCGCAGTGCTTCTTCAAATAAAGATATACTCTGGGTTGGTCCATAAGATTCCAAATTGGTGTTATTGTCCCCGTCCTTTGTATGCTTTCGCCAGACTAGAATTTCTGGCTGCTTTTTCCACTCATAAGATGGATTTGCCAACATTTCATAGACTGATGGACACTCCACTAGCTAATGTGTAAGAAAGATCATTCCAAAAAACTTAGTGGTTTTACCACATGTTACACGAAGTAAGAAAATTGTGACTATTCTCAAATGAATGAATAAGACTGTGACCAGGCTTTGGATCTGAAGAACTAATAGATATGAGCTGCAGACATCAGTGAATCACTGTAATGGGTGCCAGGTTCAACAGTGTGGGGCCTTCAATAGCTAATTCAGAATAGTTAATTGTAGTGAGAAGCACTCCGAGAAAGTGTGAAAGTGTATACATGGGGAATGGTCTTAGCCATTAGAAGCTTCATAGCAGAAAACAACTCCAGAACCCCTCAGTCATTCTGCCCCGTATGTAGCTCATATCCACTAGTTCCAAAGGATTCAAAGATAAGTCACCATCCAATCCATTCCTTTGAAAAGGCAGTTCATTTGAACTGGACCACGCCCCCAAGGCCCTGATTTAAAATTTTAAAAATACAAAGAAAATCTGTCCTTGGAAAAATATTTTTTTCTAACAGTCAAAGTTCAATTCAAAGATAGTCCACCTTTTCACAAAAATTTACTTGGGAACAAGAATTTACCAATTGATGCATAGTCCACCTTTTCACAAAAAAGTAGCTTTGAAAGCCATCAACAAACTCTAATCCAGTTAATAAAGAATCATTGATGCACCCTGGGGCTCCTGTTCATGTGGAATTCATAATCAAGCAAGGATGGTTTAAGACATCTGGGAAAATGGAAATAGATGCATATAATTGAAAAGTATCCTAAGCTCTTTAAGTTGTGACGCAGAGCATTGGCAATATTCCGATAAATTCATAGTCGCAGATTTTTCTAAAACTTTCATCTCAGCAGTATATTTATAGTAGGGTCCCTAGATAAAAAAGGTCGACAAGAAAAGAGACTGGTTTCTCTTGGTAACTAATGTTGTAAGACAATCATGGCTCAGTGTTTATTTCAATCCAGTGCGTGGAAAAATGTCAGAAAAAAATCGAGTTTCTTATAAAGAACAGAGACATAAAATTATGTACTTTAATAGGGCCCGTGCTAATCAAATCAATGAGATGAAAACATCCATTTGAATACAAAGAGTAAATAATTAGTATAAGTAGTTAACAAAATTTGACGAATAGCAGGTTGTCCATAAATCACACGCTGTTAAGAATTTATTTCAAATTCATCTTACGAGTTTTCACATTGACTATATCATATGGTATTGGACCTATTTTTCATTCAAGAGAATTTTGTCAGCAAGCTTCTTATGGTTCCGTTCATGTGCCAGACCTTGATCAATGTGCAAATATTTTCACTAAAGCTCTCTCCCTTTTGGTTTTGTGCTCTTCAGTCCAAGCTCAAGGTGGTTGATTTGCATGCTTCTCACCCCTCATGAGCTTGCAGGGGTATTGGGGGCATAGTTTTACTCCACAAGTTTACTTTACTTATTAAGTAGTAATTTAGTAGCTTCTATGACAGTTGAATTCTCTAACTAACCAAGAGATAGTTAGATTCTGTTAGTACCTTCTGTTAGAAGCTAATGTCACTGATTATATAAACCTGATGCAACTCAGAAATTCTTGGGGAGTGAATTCATTTTCATTGACAGAATCTTCTCTCTGAAACTCAACATATGATAAGTTTATATTCAGCAAACCTAATGTTTTTAAATTTTCTATTATAGACCAATTCAAATGAGTGCAGTTTACCAAAAAGAACAGGGGCCAAAAGAAAGGAAAACACGCAACTGCAAAGGAATCACCTTGGAAAGGGCAAGCCAAGCAAATCCACTTATTCACATATTTCGTAAACACCTGCCAAGGAACAATGAAAACAATCACTAGTTACAATATAAGTTCCCTCCCTATATATACATAGGACAAGATCATAGAGAAAAATTATGCACACATCTCTGTGAAGCGACATGAAACACGAGATCATAATTCCTCCCATGGAATGAGAAATTAAATTGACTTTTCTTCCACCAGAAGCTTTGTGAGCAGTCTCCAACTTATGTTTAAGACCTTCCATTGACTTGTCAATCCTACCATCAACAATAACAATAATAACAATGAGTACATAGTGTGAAGTTAGACCCTAAACTCCTCCATAAGCATGTATAGCAGAAAAAAGAAACAGACGGTAAAATGAAAGGAACTTCTCTTGTAAATTGAAATCAACTTATGTAACAGGACTTTTTGAAAATTTAAATGAGACATAGTAAAACTAGGGCATAAGGATCTGTTTGGACAAATTTCTCTAATAAAAAGAAAAAAATGAAATGATTTTTTCCAGAATGAAAGTTAACTTATCCATAAACTAACTTGTAAAAATTTTCTCATTAGTTTCTCCATTTTTAACTTAAACCTAACCTAATTATTGGAAAATCACATTAATTGTAGAGGGGTTACCTTAATTACAACCTCAAAGATGATTGTTTAGATCTCACTGTTACGGTCAAATTAAAGTAGATAAGCGGAGACACTGTTTATCTTACAAGTAAATTTCGTAGGATTGAATTAAGTCCTAAATCCAAATTCGAAGATTAATTTTAACTTAAAGAAGAAGTTTGTTTCCTATTTTCTTATCAGGTAAGTGTTTAAGGAAGAATTTATCCGAATAATTCATAAGTTGACTTGAAGTCATGGAAGACGCCCAGTTCATTTTTTGTAATTTTTCCCCTATTAGAGTCTATAAAAAAAAAAAAAAAAAAACTCCCCACGGTACATAACAAATTCAGGAAATGAAGTTTATAGCTCATAGCGTTACCTATTGCTTTGGCGGAAATCATATCCGAACCCAAACAGCGTGGTTCCCTTCTCGTAACCGCAAGCAACAAGCATCTCAATCATGTCGTGAAAATGATACACCTCTGTCAAATGCACGCATTTCGTAAACTGCCAGACAACACGAGAGAAACACTCAGCCACAAGAACACACCAAAGAACGAAATAATTACAAGTAAAATAATGTATAATCAGTCACTGACCCACGATGGATCCAAAATATCGATCGCATAGAGGCCATGATCATCGTCAGGGACCACAAGCTTAGACTTCTTGTCCAACGTTTCACAGTAGCCTGAGAGTTCGCNAAAAAAAAAAAAAAAAAAAAAAAAAAAAAAAAAAAAAAAAAAAAAAAAACACTCCCCACGGTACATAACAAATTCAGGAAATGAAGTTTATAGCTCATAGCGTTACCTATTGCTTTGGCGGAAATCATATCCGAACCCAAACAGCGTGGTTCCCTTCTCGTAACCGCAAGCAACAAGCATCTCAATCATGTCGTGAAAATGATACACCTCTGTCAAATGCACGCATTTCGTAAACTGCCAGACAACACGAGAGAAACACTCAGCCACAAGAACACACCAAAGAACGAAATAATTACAAGTAAAATAATGTATAATCAGTCACTGACCCACGATGGATCCAAAATATCGATCGCATAGAGGCCATGATCATCGTCAGGGACCACAAGCTTAGACTTCTTGTCCAACGTTTCACAGTAGCCTGAGAGTTCGCGTCAATTTGCGAGACCAACAACGACTTAACCGAAAACTCAGAAATGGTGGAAAGAGAAGAAGTAGAGGTAGGACCTGTTTTGGGATTGTAAAGGGACCAAATCTTCTTCCGGAACTCCATATCAGCGAGCAGAAGCCTGACCCAAACCCGGGTTGTGAACCCGAATGTCTTGGGCTTGGAATTCACAATGGAGCCGCCCATGCCCGAAACCAGCAGAACCGGGTCGCGATCGGCGATCGCCTTGGCCTCGTCGGATCCAAAGCACGGGCAAAAACGCATGGCTTCGTCTTCTTCTTCTCACTGAAGCTGGTGTGGAGTTTCAACTACCGGGCGAACACACGAACCAATTATTTATTAACGTACGAATAAATAAATAAATAATAGAATTATTATTAATTTTGGTTATTGGTGAAGAGAAAATGGAAAAAATAAAAATAGAAGAGTTTTGTTTTTGTGTCCAAGCTGGAAATAGATGTCATTGGATTCTGGATTTTTAGGCATTATCCTTTGTGCATGGGAAAATACTCAACTGCTTGCGTATGTGTGCAATGTACTCCATCCGGACATCCATTTTGCATCTGCATTCTCCTTCTTTGGTTTATTTGCTTTGGCTCATTGTTGAGTGTCCGAATTTACAACTCTAGTCCCTAACGTTAAAAAATCGAAGTTCCTATCTTTTTTTCAGCTGGTTTATATTATTTTTTATTTAGCTTAAATTTTTATATGATTTTTACTTTCTCTTAATTTGGTTTTTATTTTTAAATAAATTTTAATTTTATTCCTATAATTGTTAATGTACATCAATCGAGTTATTTTTTTAGTTTTTTTTTAAAAATGATGTTAAAAGTGTTGTGGTGTAGAAAAAGATAATATATATTTGTAAAAAATTGTAATTATATTGTGAGAGGTTGATAGGTCAACAAGACAGTCAGGGAGTACGGCTAAAAGTATGAAGAACTCAAACAACAAAACATTCGAAGAACTAAGCTAAGTGCATGAAAAACTTAAATAGCTCAGATTCAGAGAGTTCGATAAAATGTATGGAAAAGTCAAATAGTTCGACAAGACATCTCTAGAACTCGATAAGGTGCATCAAGAAGTCAAATAGCTCGGTGAGAAGTTCAATAAGCTCGGTCTGACTTGTCGAGCTCTTCGAATGGTCAAGCTATCTGACTTCTTCATGCACTTTACCGAGCTATCCAGATGTTTTGCCTAGCTATTTAAGTTCTCCATAAACTTAGTCAAGCTATCCAAATGTCTTACCGAGCTATTTGAGTTCTCCATAAACTTTATGAATGTCTTGTCAAGTTGTTTGAGTTCTTCCTACTATTAACTAAGCTCTCTGGATATCTTGCGAATCTTTCAACCTCTCCATTGTACACTAACAAAATTTTACATGTATGCATTGTCCTTTTCCACATACTACACTCTTAACATTGTTTTTGGAAAACTAATGATAATGATTCAATTGATGCACATTAACAAATTTAGAGATAAAATTGATTTTTTTTTAAAAGCGAAGATCAAGTTGACCCTTTGTCCCAAAATAGGGTTCATCCAAATAATTAAGCCTTATTATTTTCACTATATCACACGTATAACATATTCTTACTCTTATGTCTACCTTTATTAAAGTGAAAAATACCATTATAGTAACCTTTTATGGTTACTCCTTATAAATCATACACAAAAGGAATAATAAAATAATGTACACTTATCACAACTTTCAATTAACAATTATAAAATAAAAAAACTATTTGTCCTTATCACCAATTTACTTTAAATTATAACACTTGACGTCCTAAATGTTGCACAAAATTTTTAATTTGAAAAGAAAATTAAATTTCATTTTTATCTTTCAAGGCTTTGGTTAAATAGATGTACACAAAAATATAATAAAAAATACATGACTTCTCATTACAAAAATATAAATCAAAAGTTGTTTATAGAACATATGACTTCTTTCAAATTCAATGTTAAAGTCATTTTCATAAGGCATAACTTGCCTAAAAGTATTTTTTTTTCTAAATGTTCATTTTTTGGTATTTTATGTAAAAACGTACACAATTTTCATAAAAAGAAACTCACACTCTTCTAAATACTCATATTAAGTATTTTTCATTAGAGATATAACATTTTATTTTGTGTTAGATTTTAAACTCGTAAGCTTACAACTTCAATTGCATGAATCGATTTTCAATGAATAATGGTCTGAAATTTGTGATTGAACTCAGGTATGGTTTGGAAAGAATTTTTATGGTGAAATTCTCAGTGGTAGTTTCAAGTAAGTAATGTATTGATGTAAGGACTCAGCCTTGGAAGTTATCATGACGTTTCGATAATCGCGGCAACTTAGATAAAGAAGGAGATTATGTGGTGAGGAGTAGTAGGAGGTTTTAGTATATGATTTGGTGTTTTTTGTCCAAATGTGGTAGACAGATTAACCTTGTGTGGTAGCTTGGGGGCAGTTGTTTCACCACTACATGTGCAAAACTTGATATAATCTGATATCAATACATTTATTCAGATGATTTTATCTAGGTTAATTACATGATTACAGTGATTGGTGTGAATTGTTTGGAATAAAATGTATAATGAAATTTTAATATGTTAAGTTTGTTTCTTTTACAATATTAGTTTAGCCTTGCTTTTGTGTTTGTTTGTCATTTTCTGCGATGATCATCTTACTGATAGAGCATATAAATATGTTTCTTAGTTACTCTAACGAGGGGTGAGAGTGAAATAGAAACTTAGTTAACTGATTTTACATGTGTAAATATTTTTCTTGTGGTAAATTTGTTTTAACTAGTTGTTTTATTATTATCTTTTGTAACGTTTTATTTTAATAATTTTATACTATTAAAATAGAGGATATATTTGAGTATTTTGTATTAATAACATTTGTAGTATTAAATATATGATGAATATAAACCTTAATGTTCAATACAAATTATATTACTTATACCTATTTTTATATAAGTTTCGGCTTTTATTATTTTATTTTTCTTTAATTATATATATATATATATATTATATAAATTTTGAGAAAAAATAAGATATATAACATTGATATTCGTGACATAAGAAATATTTGCAAATATTTACTACTGACTTTTTAAGAATTTAAGTATTATAACATGCCTCGTGCATAACATTCATTTCACCCACAATATACTTTATCAAATTTCAACACTTCCATTAAATATATCACATGCCTCAACTATACACCTTTATAGGAATTACTTGTACAAAATAATCAATATTCTTTAATTTGAACACAACCAAGCACACACTTTTCTCCAAAATATGTGCAATCACTTTTTCTTTGTTCATCCAAACAATTTCTTTCCACATTTCTTGATAGAATAGGGCATGATTTTTTAAAATTCAAATTCAATATAAATATAAATCAAATTATTTACATTATAATAAATTTAATTTGTTTATAATAAAGCACGTATAATTTTATGGATTTTTTTTTGCCTAATTTTTTGATTTGGTAAACTATTTTCTAAAAAAATATTTTTTAAAACTAAAATCCGAATTTAGTGTCTAGAAAAGTTTAAAACTTTTACAACTATAAATATTTAAAATGGGCTCAATTTTTTTTATTTTTTTGTTGAAAGTGAAGATCATTGAAGTAAGTTTCATTTCTTTCAAATAAAGTTTTTCATTTATATAGTTAAGAATTAAGTTATTGCTAATATATTTAATTATTCAGTAAGTGAGGGAAAAGATGTGCGAAGCTTTGTAAGAAAAACAAGATGGCAGGGTCAGAAGGAAAATATTATAAAATTGAGGGGGCAAATAATAAATTATTTAAAAAAACTAAATGTAAGAAAATGAGAGGAGGAAAATAATAAATTAATATTAAAAGATATGATATTCCTTTTCCACCAAGAAACAATTAAATAGGTAGACACGTGCATTCCTAACATAAAAAATTAAAAAGAAACACAAGCCACGTGTTTTGTGACACACTTGTAGAAAATTCTGGTACGATACCTACTTGTTCAAAGCATCTATAAAATTCTAAATGGTATATCCCTTAACACTTTCCTTAATGTTATCACATTTTTTAACACGCGTCTTAATTAATAATTAAGAGATTAATTATCGCACACCAATAAATAATTGGTCTGAGAGTGGTATCTTTAATGATGTTTCCGTTTTCTTATTAATAGAAAAAACATAATTGGAAAAAAAGTATTTCACATAAATTTATTATTTATACTGTGCAATAAAATTTAATTAAATATTCTACACAGATAATAATGTAAATTAGTTATTACGATAACAAAAAGATTTAATTAACATTAACGTTGTAAAAAAATTTATATTATTTTGTGATGGGTTTATTGTTTGGCAAACCGTGAAAATCAACTTATAATATTGAATTTAATATAGTTAATTAATTATAGAAATGTCTTGATGATGACAAATATCTAATATTACATAAATGCCATACTACTTAATAATAATAATAAAAGTAAACCTACATATACTTTACCATAACATGCACAATTTAATCTTTTGATATTTGTGTTTATCGTGGATGTTCAT